TCCGTGGAGGCCACCATGTTGAACTACCATGTCTGTACAGTAGCCCAGAAGGCACAAACCAAACAGTGGTCCTAGATAGAGCCTTTGGAGTTTTTCCGCAGCCACCGTATTAATAACTAAATACTTGTGAGATGAGGGAGTTGTAATCTGCAACTACACTGCTAGATGCCACTTAATACAATACAGTGGCCCTTTAATTTGTAAGTGGAGGACTTTATTAGGTCTTCTTTCAAAAGTTACACACTTGCTTTAACGTAAAAGGTTTACTTTTAGATTAACCATTAAAAGAGTAGACCTACCGTTTCGCATTGCACTTCTACAACTTTGTCGACAGTTTTTATGAATCAAAATCTAAATTGATATAGCATATTGTCTTTTTCATTCGACACATTCTTTTCCTCGTGAAAACCTGACGGCTGCTCAACTCGACTGCCAATATTTGAGTTGGAGATTAGGTGTATATCGCTAGTAGCTGCTAATGTAGCCTTGTACCGCTAGCCTCAAGCAGACACAAGCAGCCAGCTGCTGAGGTTTGATAAGCTCACTTCTTTCTAACTCTACACCACCAGATCTTTAACTTTGACTCAAGTGACATCACTTGAGGCCATTTATCAGATTTTCTGCAGCTCCCTCTGGAGCCACAAAATACATATTTAGTGTGTTTTTAAACTATAGTGGGATCTAGCAGGGCATTTTCTCAAAATGAGCAAAATCCAATTCAAGCTTTGCTCCATCCCCAAGAATAATCCATTTAAACTAGGCACCTCAGCTCAAAGTAAAGAAAGAGAAGAGAGACCTGGTCCCACGAGGTCATAAATTGTCGAGGCAGACCCAGTTGGGCAGGGAATTGAGTGCAGGCAGAAGCTCCCTTAAAGAGTCTAGTGGTCTCTGTTTCTCCCAGAGTTTAACCCTCTCACCTCTTCTTATTGGCCGCTCTTTTATTCAGTAGGCTGATTTATTGGAGTTCACAAGGGAGAAAAACAAGCAGCCATCAGCCTTGCCTGTGATAAATGACCCTCACTGCTATCTTCATCTCAAGTGGGGCCTACAGTTCCAATGGGTGAGAAAGTGTGTGTGTGTGTGTGTGTGTGTGCGTGCATACATGTACTGTATGTGTGTTCACTTGTGTGTAAACTGAGATCATGTTTGCATTATTTTTTGCATACAATGTGCTGATGATAGGGGAAGAAATAGCGAACAAAGCCTAAAGGAGGAACTCATATAAATGTCTTCTTTAGTGACAAAAATTAACATAGGGAAAGATACTTTTATTGATTGTGCAAAAGTAAAGAAACGCATACTACAAATAAGTTGATACAAATCTTTTCTCTGTCTTCTCTGTCTAACTACTAATTTATGGTCTTTCTTTCTCTGCCTCACCAGGGTCCCCCCCTATCCCTGATCCTGCCCGGGCAGCCCCAAATGCAACACAGCCCCTCTTCTCCCCAAATGAAATTCTTTGGAAAGTCATTTTATATCACCCTTTGACTGTGCATTGAACTGTAAAACCACCCCATTGGAAACAAAATAAAAGGATAGGAGAGAGAGAGAAGGGGGGATGGGGCAAGGAGGAGAATTATAATTCTTTGCAGGCCTTTGGTATTAACCCAAACACCAGAGCTGTCAGCAGTTCAGAGAGGGAGGTGCGAGGGGCAAACATTCAGTGTTAATTGGCACTTTGTAAGCTCTGAGCCTTCCTTTTGTGAGGGAAGTGGAAGAGAGAGTGAGTGAGCAAGGGGGGGACGAGGAGGAGGGGAGGAGTGGTCAGCAGAGGGGGGTGAGGGAGAGAGAGAGAGAGAGAGAGAGAGAGAGAGAGAGAGAGAGACAGCTCTTGTTCTTGTAGGTTTGTTGGGCCTTGTTGAGGGTGTTTACGGTTCACTTCTTATCCTTTGTTAATTGGGCTTTCTCTCCCCCAATGAAAAAAAAGAAGAATTCATGTAACCCCCAGCCTGCCACCCATGCTCCCTGTGACTCGCCCCACCAGCCTGATCAGCAAGAGGAGAGGGATAAATGACAAGAACATAACGAACGGATTGTCCTGCGAACATCATTATACTTGTACATACCCTCAAATCTCTGTGTATCACTCTATAATGAACCATTTCAGATGCAACTGAAACTGTTTTGGCTGTGCTAGCAAGTGCTTTTGATGTTGGTTTGGGAAATTTTGATTTGGTCATATTATTCTTTCTTGCATCTGCAGGTGCCAAATTATCAAGAGAAATCAGCAGCGGCCATTTTGTAGTAGAGTTAAAAGTGGATTTCTGCTAGCAGATGTGTGCATTAACATTTTCTACTTTTCCCCTTAACCCAATCTGACACCCTCCGTGTTAATGGTGATACAGAAGAGCAGACCATCGGGTACAGGATGTAAAAACACCCCGTCCCTCCTCTTTGTGGATCCTCTCCTTCCGCTGATGTGTTTGGAGTTATCTGAAATAATTAAAGAGGAAGAGACCGGCAGACAGAGAGAGAGAGAGAAGGATGGGAAGGCACCTGTCTTTGAAAGAGAGAGGGGAAGAGGGGGGTGTTGTTGGCATGAGGCTGGTGCACTCTGCTTCACAGCACCTCTGGCCTCTTTCTGTCTTTCCCTCTCTCTCCCACTGACTGATGTAAATAATAATAGTGCCAGTACTGAAAGGACACAGGTGTCAACCATTGTGCTGCTCTGAATGGACCTGGGGGAAGGAGGTCATGGGTCACAGGGCCACCTCAGCCACCTCTCACACCCACAGTTTTTATTCACACTAACGCTCCCTTTCATAGGTTTTCATCTCGCTCCCCCCTTCCCTCTGTCTCTCTCGCTCACTCTCTCCTTTTCTTATCATAGCTCAATGTTTTGTGAAAACTTTTCAGAGGTCATGCACAAGCTCAGTATTCAGGAAGATTAACATTCTTTTCAAAATTAATCGGTTCACACAACTACGTAGATCAATGGCTGGTGCTTGAAGAGCCAATAAATGAAGGAAATTTGATTTTAGATAACATTTACATCACAGAAGGGCAAAATATGTATAGCACTCTAGACTAGCCTACATGCATTATATACAGTGCATGTTCACATATTTGCTTTATTCAGCAACATTATGTATAAACTACTATAGTACACTTACATGTGTGCTTCACTACTATATGCTGTGACACGAAACCATGAAAATAATTCACATTTCCGAACTAATCTACAATGTGTTGTGAAAGCACTTAAAAGAAAAGTTTGCAGCAAACATATTAACCCTGTCAATAATGTTAATTACCTTTATAAGCTATCGCCAAATAGCTGTTAGCAATAACAGCTTAGAAAGCACATAAGCTTATTTACCACAATGTCAAATTATTTCTTTAATGACCACATTTTTATGAGAGAATTTTATGAATATATTTGGCGACATATATATTTCAGCTACATCTTTAAAATGATTTATTTTGTATGCGAAACTCCTTTCAATCGCTTCTTTTATCTTCTTTCCAGGAGTCCTGTCTCTCTGTGCCATGTTGCAGGCTTACATCAACATACACATATAACACATCTGTGTGTTACCTCTTGCTCGTGGTTTACTCTGCAAATCTACTTCCACCTTCAAACAGAAGGCTTCTGAGTCCCATTCTCACCAGTTGGTCACCCATTCCCAAACGTCAGTGGATGATAAATGTCACACACACACACACACACACACACACACATAATAACACACAAGCCAGTAAACATGCATGTCCCAATGCGTGTGTGTGCATCAAGGCCGCTCTTTCTATAATGCTCAAAGCAACTGATGGATGAAGCTGGACAGAGATTTGTGGAGCACTGTCCTTTGTGCTCAAAGGAGCAGGACAAGAAAGAATCATAAATTGGGACCGGTGCACGATGATTGCGGTGCACTGCATTATTGCCATGGATAGGTGACTATTTATGGTCTGAAAAATGAAATTTTTGCTGTATCAGCAAACGTCGTGTGCAAATATAAAATCGAGGACGTACCGTATGCTATCTGGCAATAGGTTATAGACTTATTTTACATGTCGTTTGATTTTACTACTGTAGCATATAGGCAGATAGTCTTTCTTTATCTGTCGACATAGAGATGAAATAATACGCTGTATCACGGATATTAAAGCAGAATTCACCCTCCATTACAAACCTCTGTAAGTAAGAGTCAAATTGGCCAATCAGTCTGCTACCTTTCAAGTTTTATGTGTAGTCAGTAAAGCAGCCAGCCTCAGCTTTGGTCTTGGCCTTGGCTGTTTGCAGTCATAATGAAAATGTTTGATCTTGATATAGAGCCCAGTCTAATTTAAAACGCCGGGGAAAATCTCCATGATACTGCACCAACAGGATAGTGATTATGTAAGTGTAGTTTAATTTGCAGCATGCACGACAGTGTATAATAACAGAGAAAGACAAAATAAATAGATTCATGGATGTATCAAGGTTTCAGTGTTTGTTACTATTGTGTGTGTGTGTGTGTGTGAGAGTGTTGTGGGTGGATGCTCCTCAGCCTATAAGACCCATGCTTGGTGGAGATGGAGATGCTAGAGAAGGGTGAGAGGATTTATTACCTAGCATTAGGAACACTAATCTGTTGCAGGTGTTTCTGGCTGTTCTCCCAGGCCATGCCTGCTCTCCTCCCCAGGAGGCCCCACCATATTTGTGTGTGTGACAGAGAAAGAGACAGAAAAAGCGAGTTTTTTTTTCTTTCCACGGCATCTGCAGGGAGATTATACCGTCTCCACAATCCTCTCAAATCATGAAGAGTGTCAAGATAAGGAGTAAGAGAACATGTATTCCAATGACATCTCCCCATCAGTCATATCGACCGAAATACTACATGAAAACAGCAAAGCGCATAAGAACTGTGCAAACTTTTATATTACAGATTCAAGGCCACTTCTTCTTGCTGTGGGAGAGTCATTTATATGCATCCTGGAGAAAGTGCTCTTCTTTTTGCTTCTCAACTTTTCAAATCACACTATAATTTTTAGCGAGGCATTTGTTTTTGACAATGACAACTCACTCTGGGGTATACAGTAGAAAACCACTCTCAGCAGGGTACAACCTCTAGGGTGTATTACAATAAAGAAAAGACCACCAGGATGGATTGAGCCAACAGCTTCACAGGAAGCCTGCGGTGCTTTTGGGGGATGATGAACAAAGACACAAAGGAACCCGCTGAGAAAGTCCTGCTCTGTAGGAAGTCTGCAACGCCTACTGTGGCCAGCTTTGGAAAGAAGAAACTAAATGAAATAGAGAAGAATAGAGGAGATGGAGAGGAATCCAGGGGTGTGGAACAGTGAAGACAGGAAAAGGAACAGGGAGGGTGAGAATTGATATGGTGATGGAGGTTTAAAAAAAAAGTCAGATGATTCAATCTGAGAACAAACAGGACACAATTCTCCAGTACTATATAAAAATATTTCAAGCCAGATTGCTACATCACCATCAAATGCATGACGATGTGCTATCAAGGATTTTTTTTCTCAACAGAGAATGGACTGGTTGCTGTAAATAGGATGAAGTAGCCTTACTTTACTACTTTGGCACTACTGCCCCCATGTGGACATTCAATGTAGTCTTTCATTCTGTTAAATGTCTCTGAGGTACGGTACTGAGCATGTACTTGATTCTTTTGAGTGTGTAGGACTGAATGTTTTAATAACAAAATAATTTTAATGTTCAAGGGTTCCAATCAGTTTTACACTTAGTAATCAGTGGTTGCAGAGTTTATAATTGGTCTTTGTGCGGTGATCCTGTCACCTCTGACTATTTCACTATCCCCAAAATCACTCGGAAAGGAAATGTTTTACAAGAAAGATAAATACAGTACGACTGGGAGAAAGTGTCTTCTTCTTTCACCAAGCCTTTCACTTTCACCACAGAACTGTAGTAATGTCAAATGTTCCAACCATCACTGAATCCTGAAGGTGTCCTCTGCTCTTCAGAAACGTCCTTTTCCTGACACTCGCCTGTTGAGCAGAACGTTCTCCTACTGTGTACTGCTCCATGTGTTGTGCTCTGAGTACTAGGTGGATTTTTTACATTTGCGTGTAATGGCTATTGGTGCCTTAGCTCATGGTTCACATTGGTTGTACTGTGTAGATAGGAATTAACCCCTTTTTTAAAAAATCTCTTTGAGGTAGGCCAAAATGAAACAAACCCAAGCCATAAGATGTTCTCCCCCATGGAGTTTTTATAACTGGACCTCTACCAAAGGCAAGATGAGGAAAGGTGGATGGGGTTCCCTTTATTATATACAGTATTCTGGTCAGTTTGGCTGTAAAGAAACACTATTTTCAAACTGGAAGGTTAAAAATTAGTAGAATATTAAGACTAAATCTGGGTAGTGGAATATATTGATTACAGACAGGGCTGTCTACAGCATCATCATGCCCATTGTGTATCAATACATGATGAATATGATGCAACAGGTCATACTGAATAGTAATATTAACCCATGTACTGAATAATGGTACTACAGATTTTCATGGGTTGTAGTTGTAGGAGTTCTGGATGAAATAGTTAGTGATGGCAGGGAACCAGTCTTTACTGAGAGTCACAAAGTGGGTGAACCAAGGGTAGAAGAGCTCTGGCTGTTTTGTAGCTCCTGTAATGATGATGTTGAAGGCTGCATCTGTGGCAGGGTAGGCTGGTACATTAGTGACACCCCTAGGACACAGAAAAATATTACATTTAAGTACAGCGGATAGCAGTAGAAAAAGATGTGCAGGGGCTACCATAGTTTTTATATGCTTTCCAACATATTCCACTATTTTTCTCCACACTTGATCAAATGATCAACTCATTTTTTATGGTGTAATAAACAAGCATATCTCAAGAGAACGGTCTTTCAACTCCCCAGATTAAAAGGAGGCTGCAACATCAACAAACTTCTTTTCTGGAAAACAAATATGACACTCGACGAACAACCCCAATGGGCTCTGATGGAAACCTCCTCCTCTCATATCTAACTTTACTATCAGTGAAGAATCAACAAACAACTGAGTCCACCCCCCTTAATGCTTTGATTTTTTTCTGAATTATATATTATATTTATTATGTTTTCTTTTTTTTTTGTTTCTTTGTTGCCCGCCCCCTTCCCTTTTAAATATCATTATAAAAGTATCAGTGATCACTTTGCTGTAATTGTGAGACACTTTGCATTTGGACTTTGGTTAATATCAGTTACTGTGTATTTGACTAACCTGACTTTCTCCATTGCCGCCTCGGTATCAATGAGCCCCAGTGTGCATATAGAGATGGACACATTGCTCTTCTTCATAGCCAGCTCATGCTGAAGGGCCCCGAAGAAACCATTCAATGCAAATTTTGTTGAAGTATACGGTGCCACAAAAGGACTGGACATTTTACCTGTGAAGCAGCAATAACAGTCAGGTTTTCCAACACTGTTTTCACTCTATTGTGGCCTTCTTGGGCCTCATTTATAAAACTATTGTACGCACAATATGATCTTGTCTGGTGCAAACATACAAATTAAGAACTTTAGTGGGATTCATCAGGATTTTAATATTTCCAAAATCTTCATAAGCAAGGACAAATTGTCCTTGTGGATTTACATATATTTGTAACTAAACTCATCTAAGGAGCACAAATCCATGCTATTATGGGTTTTGGTGTTTATTTGTTCATCAAATATCAAATAAAGATCAGTAGCAGTATCTATTTCCAATAGATTTAGGGTTTCAACATTTTTATTTTACAAAACCATCTCACTACGAGGAGCATTTATTAGCTGTTGTAAGAGCTTTTGATCATATTATCTCATGTGAGTCAACTGAAAGCTCCAAAAGCTACTAAAAAGACCTTGAGATTAGATTGTTTTGACAACATAACATTTTTCATCATGTATTTTTTATTTGTATTAATTTTATTTTCCTCAGAAAGAACTTTGTAACTTTGTTAGGAAAAAGTTAATTGTTATTATTCTTTTTTAAAGGCATTTATAGGTACATGTATATGTTTCATAGTTTGCTGTCATCAAATTATGTATGAAAATGATGTGGCAAACCTACCTAAAAGTGATGAAACAATCACCAGCGATCCTTTACTTTGTTCGAGGGAGGCCATAGCTTTCCAAGCCATCTGAATATAGCTGAAGAAATTGACCTTTGGAAAGCACACATGCACATTTAGTGAATTCCCCACATTTAATGTGCTGATAGACAATCAAAATGCTACACTACCTTCATCAGCCACCTGGTGTGCTCCACATCTCCATCCCACAGTGCGAAGGGGCTCGGGCCAATGTGGTTGAGAACCAGGTAATCCAACCCCCCAAGCTTTTCCAGAGCAAAATCTACCACCTTGTTAGGATCTGATTCATTGGCCATGTCGGCTGCTATGTAGAGCGCTTTCTGGGCTCCCAAACTCAGACACTTCTCTGCCACCTGTAAAGCAAAGATCAGGGGGAATGTATTAACTGTCCAATGCAGGTGCAGAAAACAGTATAGAAAAAACTTGTGCCCTTCAACCAACTGAAGTTTCTAGAAATACACTGTACATGTATTTATACTGTACTCCTCAGGCAGTTTACATAATAATTAACACTTACTGGTTTGAGTTCATTTATATGTTGTTTACTGACCTGCTGTAATACTTTTTCCCTTCTTGCTGTAATTACTATTTGGGCTCCAAAGCGGGCGTAGTGATACGCCATTTGTTCACCAATACCCGTACTGGCCCCAGTCACTACTACCCTGGCACCTCTGAGAGAGTCTGTGAAATACATGAGACACACAGAAAGACATATGTGCTGTAAACACAGTTGTGTTGATGGAAATAAATAAACATTCAAATTTGAGTGCCACTGACACAGTCTTTTAAATGTTGATTTTGATACTGGCATTGTGCTGGGACAGGTATTTGTTCCAACGAGTATATGATATAAACTTCTAAAAGTAGATTACGTTTTGAAACTGAACTTGAAGACACTGAACTGTTATTTTAAGATCACATTTATAACACCATAATCTCTATTTTATCTAGAATCGGTCAGTATCTATAGGACCTTGCCATAAATAGATAAACCAATCAAAGTCCTCAATGTATTTCAACATTATAGTGAAACGTCTCGACTTCGACTTCTTGCTCATTAGACTCATGGTGTACAAAACCTCTGACACTGAGGTCGGAGGAGCCGATATATATAGCCACAAAACTCTGTCCCCTCTTTGAACAAGATGGTAAAATGTTCAGATATTGTGTTTATTCATTAACTTAATACACAGGAAACTTTCCAGTTTTTGATGTTATCCAGTGCACTGGTCACTGCTTTTGGTGCCATAACAGCCAAATGTGCAGTCAACCACATATTCTTTTCCTGTTGTTTCCACACATGAGAAAATAAGAAAGGAAGAGCTGGCTGAGATTACAGGCAAAACTGCACTTCCAGGACATTGCACCTTTGTGCTGTATGTCTATAAATTCATATAACATATGAAACAAATCATCAAATTTCATTCTCCATTTGTAAAGTGTTGTTATATGTTGTTATATTAAATGACAAAAGCTGTTGTATCAGCTGTGGTAGTTGCTTTTTAGAAGGTGACATATTTTTGCAGTTGTTGAAAAACGTGCATGGGGATGTGCAAGTACATTAACACTACCCCATTGACTCAAACCATATAATTTTATTACTTGTGAAGGCTCTGTACACTGCGTCCTCACTGCATTGATAAATGCTGTCCTCTCCCTCTATAAGTCACAAGCAGATAGTGTGTCAGATTATGCCCAATTACTCGCTCAGTTTGTGCTTCCTTTCCCAAATTTCCCCAGGGGAACATTAACTTATATATATATATATATATATATATATATAATATATATACAGATATAAGTAATCTGTAATAATAGAGAGATGTGGGAAGAGAATCAAACATAAAAAAACATGGGATGATTTTCTAGATTTGCAAGACATTTTTTTACATACTTCAATTTGTTTTGTTTTTTCATAAAAATTTAATCATGAAATATAATACAGTAAATGCCACACATATTAAATAATGTTACATTAGACAGCGTGCATTCAAAGGGTTCTTATAGGTGGGAGAAAGTACTGCATTAGCAGTCAAACATTTTTTTAATCCAATAGCAATTTAGATAAATCAGGTATCTACAGGCCAAATCAGGCCAACTACTTTAAATTACATCCTATAGAACGCTGTTTGTTACATGTGCATTATTTGATTATTAGCTTTCATTATTTGACAAGTTGTATGTTCATGACTTTATCACTTGACATTTTTACTGGGGTCTTAAAATGTGAAGATTGCAAGTTATTTTTAACCTTTAAATAAGGACGGATTGTCTCACTGTAGCACAGACAATCTCCCCCATGTGTGTTTCAGACCATTCTGTCACCTGTAACACAGAGCCTGACCACCTGTAGATCTCACACCACCTGCCACCGCTCTGTCACTGAGCTACATCAGCATTAATGCTGCTATTAAAGTGACCAAACGCAACAATAAAAACAAATGACCGCATATCAACAACTATATGCGTCTCTCTTACCTGCATCAAAACTGGGTGCGGTCCACTTGACAGCAAGGAATGCAACACATACGCTAGCGAATATGATTTTCATGAAAGTTCCCATTTTGTGAACTTGTTGGTGGTTAATTTTAAGCTCTTAGGGGTGAGCCTAAACTTCCACAATCCCAGTTTCCAGATCCGTCTCTCAATGTGAGGAAAGATTAGGAAACTCAAATGCCATTTATGTAAACAAATCCCTCCTCTCTATTGACATGTATGGTATGAACGGGGTGTGTTGTTCACATAAGAGGTTCATTGAACTGGAATCGTCCTAGGCCAGTTTCTCAGACAGAAATAACTAAATATATTTGTTTGTTATTTATAAAAAAAAAACACACACTTTACTTTATAACACTTTTTATTATCAATTGTAATTTATTTGGCCACAGGTGCAAAAAAAAAAAAAGAAAAAAAAAAAAAGACCACACTAACGAATCTGTCGCTCTTAAATGGCCTTAGCGCTATCTTTTGAAAGGGCAACTTTATTGACAAAACCCTTGAGCACAGAGAACAGAGCCGGGTTGCCCTTCAGTGGCGATATCAAGACAGCCTTCACACCAGGAGTAACAGTACGTGAGAGGAAACTACACCCTGTGGACCATGGCGGCAAGAATTCTGCCCGTAGTGAAGTTAGTTCTTTTAATTTGGGACGTTTTTCCTCTGAAGTTAATGCTGCTGTCGATGTTAGCTGCTCGATTAGCCAGTGAGCTAACTGACGCTAGGTTAGCATAACTGTGAGTCTGTCCGAGTCTTACAGCTGTCATCTTCAACCACTCTGCACAGTGGATAGTGCACAGTTTGTGAGTCTGCTGAATAGCTCAGCAGTACAATGATTTTATTCTACACACACACACACACACACACACATATATATATATATATTTATATATCCAGTTTCGATGACTTCGCGTACACACAACTTCTTTGTTCGCTAACGTTAGCCAGCAGATGTTTTTTATTAATAATTATTAACTAGCTAGCTTCATTAACAGATCATTTATTTGCATTAAAGGAAACTCTTCCATGGTGTACTCTGTCTGACATGTGTTTGACCGGATACAGGGGGATCTGACTGCCTCTGCTGTTTCATTTTCAGACTGGCCACCAAGGTGACCATTGCAGGAGGAGCTGTCTACGTTGCCTATGACTCCGGTCTGTTGGGGAGCAGTGAGCAGGGCTCAGAGGCTCTGGGGAAGGCCAAGGCTGTAATCCCCCCCGCCGTAGAGGAATGGATGAAGTACTTTGGCATGGAGGTACAGATAAGATGCACTGCTTAAGCATTGTTCTGATCCAGGACGGCCCTGGGTGTGTGATAATGCAACACAAGGGAGGAAAACATGTCAGGCACATTTTTTGTTCGAGTAATTTGCCTGCAGTAGCTACACAAATCTGTGCTGTAGTAATAATGCAATGGATAAATAAATTGATAAATTGAATTTTAGTATCCTGCCCTCTCATGGCCCATTCCCCGTTGCATTGTAAGACACCTTTACAAGACAAATGTTGTATTTACAGTACAATGGTGAACAGCTTCCAGCCAATAAAAAACAAAATTATACTCATTCTCTATTTATCCCAGATCACACACTGGACAAATTTAACTTTCTTCTTCTAAAACTGTACCGACCCATTTCAGTATAAAGGCATTAAAGGCATTTTCTCTTTGTTAGAAAAGAACACAATTATCTGTATAATATTTTTCGTACGCAGCTTTGGTTCACTCCCAATCTTATTTACCCAGTTCTGTCATTTCAGAATTGACAATTTAACAGTAATCATCTTAGTTTAACCTATTTAGTCAATAATCAGCCCAGTTATATTTATTGTATGTTTCATATCCGTATTCCAGTGTAATACTGGAGTAATGTGACTATTCCCACTTCTCAGTGAAGCACCAGAAGGTCAAACCATCACTCGTCATTGCCTCTGGTACACACGATGCACTTAGTCCACATGATGTTGAGTAGTATCACAAGTGAACAGTAATGAGCCAAAATTATATCTTTAACATTTCATGCATTATGTCCTTCTACTACCTCCTTCTCCTCAGGCTCAACTTCCAACCATGCCTAAGATTGAATTCTCCCCTCTTCAGTCGTGGAACTCTGGTAAGAGCTGAATGAAAGGCTTTTTTTTTTTCTTTTTAAATAGAGGGTACAAATTGTGTAATGTCATGAGTTTGTGTTTTTGTGTGTGCCACATTCAAATTGTGGTCACACACTTCACTTGGTAGATACAGTGGTATTTTTAGCATTCCATTGGGTTAGTAATCAGTTTCAGCATCACTGTTATGACTTTGAGATTAAATGCATTGTACGTAAACCCAAAACCATTTGTTTTATTTTTATTGCAGGAGTGCGGTGGACAATTTCATCTCTTTCAGAGGCTCCAACAAAAGCAAGTGATTACACAAATCAGGGATTGCAGTACCTGAAAGACCTCACCAAGTGAACAGGAACTCTCTGGTCAACCTTAAATTTATAAATCTTTTGAGTTTTGCACTTGAATGACATTACCTCTTCAAAAGTTGTAGCCCCTGACAAGAAAGAAAAAACACCCAACATGAAAGAAAAATGTGTGTTGAAATTCAGCTACAAGGAGTGTAGTCTCCTGAATGGGTACTGTGGTCCTCTAAATGATAGTGGCATTGGTTGGGAGTCGTATTGTACATAATGCTAGGAAGCAATATGTGTTTTAAAAGAAATTGTTCTTTGGTTTTGTGTGTACCATCAAACCTAATTTTGCTCAGAACTGTCTAATATACAATATTTTACTTCCCTTTGTGCTCAAACCATCCAAATATTATGAAGAGAATGTCTGATGTGTGTGTATATATGCAGTTTCACCATTTGTGACTAAATACATCGATCTTAAAACACGTCCAGTCTTAAGTTTGATTTATTGAGGCAGAATACGTACTGCACGTGGGTCGTGGCAGTGTGTTCAAAGAACGAAACCAAACAAATGTGCAAAAATCTTTATTACTCATGAAAGAATAATCATGACACCGATGGCCTGTTGATGCTGCTACAGCTTCAGCGCAGGAGGTGGTGACTGAAAAGCATGTAGAAGAGCGCACACAGCCATTTGTAACTCCACTTTACACAACATAAAAACACCCCGCAGCACCACTAGCGGTGATGTACAGTGTTAACCTATTTGTTTAGTTCCTTAATGTGGGTTGAACAAACGGTACTGATTCTGCCACACACTTGTCTACTGTCAAAATAAGGTTTGAAAATTTCCAGACACTCTGTTCAGGTGATGCATGCAGAGTTTTGATAGCTAAAAATAACTGTAATAGTATATTTACTGATTGACTAGTTTACTGAGGGATACACTGAATAACTCGCAGAAGGCTGAGAACAATTCAGCAACTAGGACATAGTGACGAAGTTGGGATGAAATACCAATACCACACTGCAAGCATACATGTCATGTTTGCAAGACAAAGTTATAAAGACTAGAACCAGAATTAGTTAGTTACTGTCAACAAACCGCTTTGTCAGTTGATTATACCTGTTTAATATTCGGTTTATAATTTATGTATAGTAATAACTCTCACTAAAAGCTGGTGGTATTGTATCGATGAGATATTGGTATAAATGAGAGTAATCACGACAGGCAACATTACAAGGCATTTTACACAAGTTGTACATATTAAATACTGTCATCTGTATTGCAACAAGATTTTTTTTTTTTCTTTTTTCCATGCGTGTGATATAAAGCATTTATTCTGCCACATTTGCTCCTAAGGAAAAAGCAATTTGGGGAAACTGTAGCGTAACCTAAACATGTAAACTTTTATACAATAAAGTGCTCCCCACAATATCAACAGTGAGATTATACAACCAAGGATGATGTGTGTTGTATTTAAAGAACATTTTAAATCTGCATGAAGAGCAAAACAGCATAAATATAAACTGATGGCTGCAAAAACTTTCCTCAAGCTGTCAGTGTCACCACTTCTGAATGAAAACCAAATAGCAGCCTTCATACACAATGATTCATTAAGTGCTTAGATAGTCGGAGATTGAGCGTGTACAATATTGCAGAATGACAAGCCGGAAGGCACTTCATGATTCGTGTGGGATCAAATTGATATGAGAATTTAGCAAACTGGATCTTCATCACCAATACAAAGGATTTGCTTTGATACAATCCTAAACATGGTGCAAAGGTGCAGGAATATATTTCCACATGAGTATAATTTATCTAAAAGCCTTTAGCAAATAAAAGGGGCCCCTTAAGGTGATGTGACAATACTGCTTTCATTCAGCCTTACCATTGCTAACGCTAAATTACTTGATAATATGTGCAGATAAATACATGTACAGTACTTATCTGCACATGTAATTCAATAAATGTCTCAGTAGTAGACATCTATCCTAAATGGAATAATGTATGTATCATGGTTACTAGCTATTTAGATGATCCAAAGAAAAATGGCTTCAAAAGGATATTCTGAGCAGCTTTTTCAGTACACACTGCGATTTAATTTAAGATAATTACTTTAAGGACAGATCAGTGAGTATCTCAGGGACAACAATGCAAATGCAGTAACAACTGCACTTTGCAGCTGTTGGGCAGTGCAATCTTAGACTGTCCGAAGTTAAAAGTATAAAGTAGAGCAGCAACATTAAAACAAGTCGACACCCTCTCCTCGAAATAGCCAAGCATAGCGGTGCTACAGTTCTGCTGTGCATATGAAAAACAGATTGCACTTTATTCCGAACAATAAAGCATATTAACTATTCAACCCTGTCATGGCTTTGAATAACAAGATTATAACAATGAGTGGAACAGAAGCAGATGGACGGAGGCTGGAGAGTGAGATAAAGTGTCCACTATCTCTAGGTGGTTTTGACCAAGTCATAGACATGAATATGAAAGTCATCATCATATTTGATATAGTAGACAGAGGGCTTGGCTGGGACCTGGTAGATGACCAGGCCTGTTCTCTTCACACCCTTGTCAGTAACATACTCCACTTGTTTCCCCACCAGACTCTCCGTCTCTTCCCCTGGCTTCCTGTCTGCAGGCAACAGGTGCTTGTTTTCTGAGGAGTGAAACATTATACAAACATTACAATTATATTTGAGTTTAGCTCACCAAACACAACCTACTTTACTACTACTACTGCTAAAAACAAAGGCTCTATATTATTCTTTACATGGCCCATCTCAGTTTACCAATCGTTGCATGAAACTTAATCACCAAAATAAGGGAATGTGCATCCTCTTGTTATTTCTCCAGTCCTATTTTCTCAATTTTACCATTACTTCGATAATTTTTTCCTGACGTAGAAATTAAGAGAAAAACATCCTCCAGGGCTTTTCTAAAGTTGTAGTGTAAGAATCTTGGTCCTTTTTAATTCATGACTTAGTTAAGATCTTAATCTGAAAATGACCACGAGCACAAAGCTTTAACAGACAAACTATATACGTTTTTACAGGTCTTCCAATCTTGCATAATGCCTCAGTATTCTGATATTTTATTAACATTCATCATCTAAATTAAACCTGAATAGAAGTTGTAGTGTAGTGTAGTTTGTGTGCCAAATCACTAAATATTCTCAAATTAGAAACAGCAATTTGTGCACGTTTAAACATACCCATTACCTCTGGAACAGCTCCAGAAACAGTTGTGTGATGAAACCGCTGATTAGAGTCTTGGCTCTCATCATTGAACCTTTCATAAATATCTAAACTCCCGGAGAAAACGGCATCTGATTTGAAGACTGAAGTATGTTTGTGGAAAACTTCAACTCTAGAAGTGCTTACTTTAAAATACATAATTTTGCCTGTATGATACTGGGACTCAAACCCTCCCGATGAATACTAGTCATAAATACTTCCATGACCACTGTGACTGCTGGTGAACTCACATGCTATCCATGCCAAACAACATTAAACGACCTTCCCAAGTGGAAAAATGATTCACGTCACACAGCGGTCGCCTTTGATTCTATCTATAAAGCCTTAGGACAAGATCATCAAAGACTTAAGCTTTCTGAACTATAAATCTGTCTTTGTTGTATCCAAATTAGCAGTACCTGCTTCAGGCAGTATCCTGAGGTCTCCGTCAGCGTAGTCGTCCCACAGCTGGTACATATAAAGAACGGGGTCCTTTTCATATGTGATATAATACCAGTTGGTCATAATTGGAGCTCTAGAGAGGACCATGCCTCTCCACTCGTTCTTCTCTCCGTCCTCCTTTTCAAACAGATGCTCCACAGCTTTGCCCACCAGCTCCTCCGCCCCTGGAGGTATCTTGATCTTGTTGTTTACTGTCAGACGCAGCAATAGAAAAGTGAGAAACGTGGGAACCTATAACCCATCAGTTGCAAACTAGCTGGCATAGATTAAAAGAGAGGCTAACCAACTCACCGACTTTTTCCGACAGGACCTGAAGGTTCGACACTCGGTCGTCCTTGAACAGCTCAATGCCGTAGACGCAGTCAAAGCCGTCATACTTCACCATGAAGAGAGAAGGGTTCACACTAAGCCTGTCGAGTACTGTTCCCTTCCATTTGCTCTGGTTCCCCTTCTCACGCCAGTTATGCTGAATGCGGACTCCCAGAATGCTGTTGGGGTCAGGGCTCAACATGTCACTCAGCTCCCCGCTACTCCGCTTTCTGGTAAAACAGGATGAATATGCAGGTCTGTGTGTCTGTGGTTAACAATATGCAAAAGCCTTTATGACATTTGAGATGTTTCTGGAAGGTTACTGTAGGTAAGACTGAGACTTCTTCTTTTTCAGGTCTATTTGCAACAAAACCAATATCAAAACTTTACTATTTCTTTATGCTGCTGATTATTAAAATCTGATAAACATCTGATATAAATTATAGGATAATTCCAGAGGTTTATACCTGGATTAGCCACTTTTTCATGCACATTTTACTATTATGTACGTTCCATTCTGATATATATAATGGCATCATTGGATGGCACATACAGTAGCTCTGTTTGTACATACCTGCCCCTTTTCTTGGACATGCCTCCAGGAATTCAGTGGCTACTGATTAAGAGAAAGACAGGGCGATGCACTGTTATTATGTGAGTGAAGATGACAGCTGCCAAACTTCACATGTACTGTATACTACATAGCATGAGAAAGGCCTCTACTTCAGCTGACAGGCTGGGCTGCCTGCAGAGACCAGTGACAGGCTGCAGCCTGCTCACAAGACTGACAACTACAACAGCCAATAGATTAGCATGATGGAATAACTTCCTGTGTGTTTTACTTTAACTACACAGCAATGGAGGTCACTGTTTTCTACTTAGGCGAAACTGTGTAGCTTATCATGTTTAGTTAGCAGTCTCGTTTCAGTGTAGGGATTTAAAAGCCAACAACAACAAAAATATGTCTGACACAACTTCCAAGAGAATATGTCAGCCATTTCACTGTATCTGACGAATTACACTGTGTAAAGCTCACCGGTTACATTTTAATGCAACTAAACTTATACATTAGCAACACACATATCAAATATGACGGGGTGAGCCTAAACGACGCCATAAGTCACGCCATACAGCACCTGTCCTGGACTAAGTCCAACACACCTTCACCTCACACTGTAGGTTACCAGTTACCACTCGTCTGTCCTAGCTCTACCTCAATGCAGATGTTACTGTAACAGAAGTGGAGGCGGCTAGCTACATCCGCTCTTCGGCGTCCCTGCTGGCAGGTTAACAACCACCAGCAACAACTGGGTGTCAACAGCCTTATTCTCCCCTCGGAACACATTTCCATTACCTTTACGCAGATTTCATATCAGTATTGTTCAGTTCGTCTGGCAGAGAAATGTTGCCACACACCAACCCGCCTATGCAAATCTCGCGAAACCTGTGGAAAATGGGAGATGCGGAGAGGAGACTCCAGTTCCCGGCGTGCCCTGGTTTACCGTGACCGCAGAGAGGCGCACGGACACGCGCGCAATGCATCGTGGGAAATGTTGTTTTGATGACAATGATATGGACTTTTAACGACCAGAGTTTTAACAGGTGTTGTAGACAGAGCTGCGTGCTGCGTTCGAGGGTTTTCGAGTGGAAATAGCGTAACTACGGTATTGGTGCGCATGATCGACATGAAAAAAGTACACAGCATAACCGATCAGAGGATTTTCTGTGACGCAAGAGTTGCCTAAAATGTTACTTAAAGGGGCAGACAACACAAGAAAGGTGTTAAAGTTATAAAGCAATAGAATAGATTGTAAAATCATTATTATGTTTGTAAGTTAACTCTTAATTTAACATTTAAATACCTCTGTCAGGCCTATGACAATGAGCATCTTCATTTTAGAAAATCAACTCAACACAACACTAAAATGCTTGGTGCACAATTTGTGACTCTTTTATTACATCTGATCTTTGAAATAAAATAAAATTGAGGCCTGATCATCTTTGTGAAGACCATTTTAATAATGTCAACCTAAACCGTGATTCATTTATTCAAGGACCACTCGAAGGCAGCATGTTCAATTTTAAAATGATCTTGAAATATTACCTGAATGCATATCAATACCACGAGGATCATAAATCTATACAACCACAGGGGAGCTAGTCACATTCACCACTGACCTGGAAGTCAGGGTTATTGACAATCAGCAAATGATTGGGAATATCAGCTGCTCCCCTCTCGGCACCACTATCACCTGTTACCATTATGTTGAATGGCATTATAAAGTTGCACAATACAGCTGCACACTACAAGTTACATAATATAAATACACACAATATCACCCGGACAACTAAACAGACCGCATTTACTCAGGCTTGACTTGTTCATCTGAATGCAACACTTAGCTCTATATCTAGCTATGTTTATAAAAGGAACAATTCAAGCAGGGCAGAGTGTATGCTCCAAGAATGAAGTTACTTACCAAATATGAAAACATGAACAAAAACTTGCCGAAATAATGGTTTTATTCATCATCAAGGTGGTGTCATTGTTTGATACATAGAGTATGTTCACTACAATAAAATGAATAAATGGGAATTGATCTTCAGCTCAGCATATTTGACACTTTAGAATGAAATTAAATTAATGAAAGTAGCTTTGCCTGACCCATATATCGAATGCATGCAATGTAACAAAAACAAAAGGTTACAAAAACTTCAGTTATCAACTCATCTAACATTTATACATCTTATATTTCGGTCTAGATTTATATATATATATATATATATATTTACTTATCTTACTTTCTATACTTCATGCATTTATTTCTGTCATTGTGCTTCTGCAACAACCAAATTTCCCCGCTGGGGATCAGTAAAGGTTTATGTTTATCTCAACAACCACAGCGCTGCATTGTTAAACAGATATTAAACAACATAACACCACGTTCCATTCAGGGCCTTGTCTTCAAAGTGCATACCAATTAAGCATAGTGACACATTACCATTCAATCTAATTAGCCTAATTGCTGTTTATCACACTTGTAATCCAGTCCCTAAAGGATGTTATGCGCGTGTAGACATCAGGCGTCCTGGGGTCTCCACATCGCCGGCCAGAGAAGGAGACGACACCTGCTGCAGCTCCATCACACACCAATGGACCACCTGAATCCCCCTTAAACAGTAAAAATATGAGAGAGTTAACAGAAGGTGTACTTTGCTTAAAGCAAAGAATCAAGAATAATGTTTCTATTAACAAGACATTGTCAGACCTTAACAATATCTATCTGGTTTGCTTACATTTACTGAATGTGATACTCACATCATTTAGAAAAGCTGTTTACACACTTAAGACAACTCCTTCAAAGGTCAGTTTGGGGTTCAGATTAACAATTAACCAGTGTATTTTCTTACCGAGCAGAAGCCTTGAAAGACGTCACCCCCAACACCACAAACCATTGTCCTGGTGATGGGAACACCACTCCATCTTCTACGACAGGTCTGCTGCGTCAGGGTGGTTACATTGACCTCCTGAAGCCTGTTTGGCAAGGTGTTGTTATCCCCGACATCCCCCCAGCCAGCCGTGATGCACTTACTGGATGTGCTCACCCTGCCCCTTTTCAGAGGGATCAGCTGCACCGCTTCAGTCAGTTGGGCCCTTCGGTTGAGCTGAGACAAGGAGAGTAATGGTTGGAAAATACAGAAAATGTTAATTGTGCTAGAGTTTGTGTTATCTTAACATGCTTTATGTTTTTGGGCAAACTTGAAACATCAATGACGACAGGATTCTTCTACTTCAGATCTGATACAGATTAAAAAAACAGTTTAGTCCTCACCTTTAGGAGCATGATATCATTTGCATGTCCATCATAGCTGGGATGTGGAATGGATCTGACAGTGGTGAACTCCTGCTTTGTAGATTCATTACCGGACAGGGAATCAGCTCCAAGTACAACTGTGTAGGGTCTAGACATCACAATTGAATGACGACTGTTAATAATCTCTCTCTAGACTTGAAACAGTAATACACCACAATGAATCTACAAAGTGCAAGCTGATTTTTATCCTGAATTGACCACAATGTTGTCTGAGATTCATTGTCATTATGACGTTTAACAATATTTCAAATCCTGTGATGTCTGTTATAGTTGTTAAAGTAATTAACCATCAGTTAATGATTGCTGCCAACGTAACAAAAAGAGATGTTAGTCTATTTTTTAATTCTTACGTAGGTATCTGACAATGTGCTGCTGTGAGCACAAAGTCCTCTCTCACTAGGGTTCCCCCACAGTTCAGGCGACCTCGGACTTGCAACGCGGCCATGTAGGGGCGAGAGTGGGGGGCAGCCTCTCTGCCTCCAACAATACGAGATCCATCAGCTCCTGAAACACAAAATCATCTTTTATTACTATGGTTATAAAAAATATAAAGGCCCGTAACAAAGGTTTTTACAATATATAGATAACTTACCATTCGGAACAAAGAGCAGCAGGAGTATGAAGATGATGGCCATGGTCTTTGGTCAAATCCAGAACTTCCAACCCTTGGTCTTGAGGTTTTGGGGGGAGGGGAGTGGACAACGTCTTGCTCATTTTGTGGTCTTTATTGCTTCAGGGTGTTTGCTAACATACAGGTTTTTTTTCTTTGTGAAGTTGCTGGTGGGATTGCAAAATATGTGGTTTTAGATTTTCAAAACAGGGTTTCATAATTGATGCAAGAAACTGGTGGAGTTATAACGGCTTTGGAGCATCACGTGAACATCACGTCCACTGATGAACTGAAAGTTCTACACTTTTTTATCAGTGGTAAACATTTTGGATAAATGTTAGTTTGAAGTCTACATTGTCTGAAAAACAGTGATTGAAATTAATAATGAGAAAGTGTGTGTGTGTGTGTTTCTTATAAAGTGGTAAAGTCACAATACCAGCTATAATATACATGATTGTCACATTTTGTCGATTTTCCAACAAGCCAACATGCTGTTGTTTGATGTCTTTCTATGATATTGTATATAACCAGCTGCACAAACCTACTGCATCTACACCTACCAGGATATTAACTTTCTTCACTTAGTTCAGGTTAGGTAAGATTTTAGTATTTTGGTTTCTTTTATGTTATCTGTTAACTGTCCTT